GGTTTTGGGGCACATTATACTATAATCATAATGAGGAACCCCCAGAATAGTTTTGGGTATAATTATTTCGGCCCCTACATTAGCAAAGAGCCGGCAGTGCAGCTTAGAGCCCAACGCCTCTGCCCTCGGATCCTGAACCCGAACACCCCTCAAACTTCGAAAGAAATAGGGTTTAGGGTTTAGGGCAAGTCCGGAACGAGGGAGCCTCGTATTCATCCCTCGCTATGAGATCCCTGTATCGACCCCGTCATCGCAGCGTTCTCCCGACACTCCGAAAATCCGAAAATCTGATCTGCGGAGAGGCCCCGAGCTCCCCTAAATTTCTGGAAGACCGAGGTCGGTACCGTGTGGGTCTACGAGGTGATGACTTGCACCCCCGAGTGCCTTCCGGGTGGTGCTCACTTCTGGCCGCCCGCACCCAATTGTGATTCAAGCTTAGGTTTCGGGATGTACGGGTAGTGTTGAGCGTTGGAGGAACGAGAAGTTGACGCAGCAGCAGCAAGCGCAGTAGCGACAAGCATCTAAACCCTGAGTTCTAAACCCTAAGCCACCTCTAGCTTTAATTTGGGACTAGGTACGAAGTTGGTGTCGAAATCCTGACAAGAGTGTGTGTGTGTGTCACGCCAACGTCTACCCTAACAAGCCCTACAGCTCCAGATCCCTATACAAAGCCCTCACAACCAAAAGCCCAGAAAACCTGAGCTTCAAATATCAGGTAGTGCTCCATAAGAAGAGCACTAGATATGCCTCAACTGTAAGAGCAAATCGCTATAGTGCTAGGACTCGAGCATAGCCAACATGGGCGTTACTATGCAGTCGATCATATACCCCCTTCCCACGTTATTCACTTTAAGGCTTCTGGATAGCGGAGCAGGCTTGTTGGGTCGTCCCAGGCCAAATCAAGGGAGCAGGGTGCCTTGATTTTAGGGTGCCTTGGTTTTTGTCCCCAGTCTGCGGAAGACTTACCCCTAAACCCTAAACCTATCCAGTCTTGAAGGCTTGTCTCGAGATGCGGAGTGACTCAACCCTGAACCGTAAACCCTAAACTCCTAAACCACTCTCTCAGGCTGATTCAACCCTAAACCATAAACCCTAAACCACCCTCTCCTCTTTGAATGAGGGCTCTATGCAACCTCCGAAGTTTTGGGGTTTGAGATGTACCTCCGTAGGTTTTGGGGTTGGGGGTTTGGGACTGCGGGTCTGCAGACAGGCCGTTGGCTTCGGGCATGGCCCTTATAAACCCTAAGCCCTAACCCCGTTCAGGGGGTGGGTTCTGCAGTTCTTTGGGGAAGGCTTCGGCCTTAGGGTAATGTAGGGGCCTTATACTTACTGTACCTATACCATGTTTGGGGGCTCCTTCTTATCATTATA